GACATTATAGCCTTAAAGTCGGTCTCATAATACAAATAAAATATTTTTTTTAAAGATGATAATACCGTTTTAATATTATTAAAAAAATAAAGTATTAACGAAATATTTCACTATAACGTCAAAGAGTATCAAAATAATTTTGTTAAAATTATGCACACAAGACACTAGGCAGCTTGACGAAAAAATTTTGCTCCAAGTTTAATGATTTGACGTATTGAGGACCATAACCTAAGTTTCTTTATATACTGCCCCATTAGGCTTCCATTAAACATAATTGGGTCAATATGGGTATCCACCCATTCAGCCCATACCCTGTTAGGAGACTATTTAGACTTTTCATAATTAGATAACTTAATTAACCTAATTATTTAAATAACGTTAATATAATTGTTATAAATATGTGGCTATAATTATTATTAGGAAATATAATTTCCTAACATATATGTCATTTGGGCATTCCTCGTGTTTCTCATAAGTTCTGACTTTACTTTAGGAGCTTCTAAGATTTGGGGTGGACAATTTCTATATAAGAACAGTTTGGACATTATAGCCTTAAAGTCGGTCTCATAATACAAATAAAATATTTTTTTTAAAGATGATAATACCGTTTTAATATTATTAAAAAAATAAAGTATTAACGAAATATTTCACTATAACGTCAAAGAGTATCAAAATAATTTTGTTAAAATTATGCACACAAGACACTAGGCAGCTTGACGAAAAAATTTTGCTCCAAATTTAAAAAAAAAAAAAAAAAAACACAGAATTATCTTGTTAGGATAGAGAGATCATGAAAGACGTGGAAGAATCAATCACAATAATTAAAAATGATATAAAGCTCAATGGAAATTAGATTTCCTTGTCCTGTTGTCTATCCGGATCTGTCATCCTTGCATTAGAAGAAATATTTAACATTATTGAGAATTAATGGCAAAGATACGCGTTCAATAAATAAGGATTTTGTTTAGAGATTTGTACAAAAAATAACCCAACTGAAGTTTACTAATAAATAAATATCTCTAGTTTTGTTAAGCTAAAGAAAATGCAGTTGTTTTGAAAAAAACACTAAATTAATCAAAGACCTACGTTTATCGATTGATTTATTTTGATTAAGTGCTTGCAATGCAGAGAAAAAAAAAAGGTAGAAAATTCGAAAAGATTTATGTGGAAAAGACTTCAAAGAAAAGGTAAAGCTAGGAATAATAGAAACTAATTTTAAGATTATGAAAAATTTGAGATTAAGAGAGTTGTTGTAGGGAAAAATCTCACACTTCACGTCAGGCACTAAATGAGCGCCACGTGGCACAATGGGTGGATTAGTGGCCATGATAACTCAGCATAAAGTATCCGTAAAAGGGAACTTCGTAGAGGCCGACCGTAAGATAACGCGGGAGGTCGACCGTACATAAGAATGAAGATAGGTGATAGGTCGACCGTACAGAGGTGTTAGGGCAAACAAGAGGTCGACCGCTTCAGGCAAACGTAAGCGGAGACAACATGACAGGCGCTTGAGGAGCCGATTGCACGCAACCTAAGGAAAAATTGAACCTGCAGGATATCTTACGTGACTTGTAAGCAAGCGAAGTTGGCAGGGGAGCAGGAAAAAGATCACTGCTGACCGACATGCACTCCACCTGCCAACGACTACATCCAAAATATGAGATGATGTGATATAATATATAGTGATGGAATGTAATGATAGAAATGGCAGAGGTTGAAGTGAATTGAGCTAATATATATGTGAAAAAATGATGAGCCGAGGGGCTCACAACTCTCTAAGAAGAACTTGTAATCAAAATTCATAGTGAAGATTTTTCTCTCCTCACAGTGGACGTAGCTCCAGAATTCGGGTTGAAATACTATAAAATTCTTGTGTTGACTTTCACTTAATTTTCTTTAGTCACGTTTTAATCCGTTTGATCCGCACATAAATCTTTAAAAAATATGTTATTAATCTGCTGACGAATTTTCACCGTCAATCAGAGTTATCCAAAGATTGCAATAATTTGAGATTTAAGAGAAAAATGACATTTCAAAGAAAAAAACAAAACCCACCCATGCAGGCACCTTGGATTCCAACAATCACCAAGTCTCAATGCTATCCGATCGTCGTCATAGAAAAATTATGAAATATTTTATAATAAGAGTACTTGACTGGTTAAGTGGGGGCCTTTTTTTTTTTTTAATGGATTTTTATAAGGTTTTTTTAATAATAAAATAATTTATAAGTTTTTTTTTTTAAATATAAGAAATTCTTTTATTATTGCATAAAACGCATCTTTTCAATTAACAATAGTTGCCGGGATACTAACTATATTTCTAAAATAAAAAGGGTAAATATAAAATTTTATAGGAACAGTTGGATATCTAGAGGACGATGATACCATAAATATTATAAAATAAAACAGAGATGTACAAAGGACTAGAGCAGAGAAAAATTGAAGAGATCTAATCCATAAATAAAGTAGAGAAAATACTCTGCATGAATGGAGGAGACGGAGAAACTAGCTACGCTGGAAACTCCTTAATTCAGGTCCTTCTCATATCCCTCGTTCTACACTATATATATATATATATATATATAAATGTTCATCGGAATTATCTTTGAATGTGGTTTAATTCCATTCTATGCCAATTAACTAGCTCAGCATATTTCCATTCTTAAAAGATTATTAAAGTTATTAACAGGAGTGCTCAATCCCTTATAAGCATAAAATTATTCCATGTTTAGTTAACATAGCCAAAAACTCTTACAAAAAAACATAATTATCACGTCTTTAGTGTCATGAGCATCAATGCATATGTTACCATGAAGAGTGACATGAAATTCATATCATCTTTATTCTATCATGGTGCTTACACTTACATCTGATTTTCTGCACATTTCTTTTTCCGGGATAAGTAGGGATTAAAGTCCGTCTAATCAGCTCTAATCTCGATTGAACTCGAGTCAAAATTCATGTTGCGCATCTTGGAGGCAAAAATCTAGAACCTAACTCTGATACCCACTTGTTAAGCCCTTATCGGCCTAACATAACTATTCGTTCTCATGTCTAGTTAAATCTCCTTAGTTCGTTAATGGGATGTTTTCTCTTTAGATGGGGAATAATGAAAACTGCCGAATGATTTGACGTATTGAGGACCATAACCTAAGTTTCTTTATATACTGCCCCATTAGGCTTCCATTAAACATAATTGGGTCAATATGGATATCCACCCATTCAGCCCATACCCTGTTAGGAGACTATTTAGACTTTTCATAATTAGATAACTTAATTAACCTAATTACTTAAATAACGTGAATATAATTGTTATAAATATGTGGCTATAATTATTATTAGGAAATATAATTTCCTAACATATATGTCATTTGGGCATTCCTCGTGTTTCTCATAAGTTCTGACTTTACTTTAGGAGCTTCTAAGATTTGGGGTGGACAATTTCTATATAAGAACAGTTTGGACATTATAGCCTTAAAGTCGGTCTCATAATACAAATAAAATATTTTTTTTAAAGATGATAATACCGTTTTAATATTATTAAAAAAATAAAGTATTAACGAAATATTTCACTATAACGTCAAAGAGTATCAAAATAATTTTGTTAAAATTATGCACACAAGACACTAGGCAGCTTGACGAAAAAATTTTGCTCCAAGTTTAAAAAAAAAAAAAAAAAAACACAGAATTATCTTGTTAGGATAGAGAGATCATGAAAGACGTGGAAGAATCAATCACAATAATTAAAAATGATATAAAGCTCAATGGAAATTAGATTTCCTTGTCGTAGGGAAAAATCTCACACTTCACGTCAGGCACTAAATGAGCGCCACGTGGCACAATGGGTGGATTAGTGGCCATGATAACTCAGCATAAAGTATCCGTAAAAGGGAACTTCGTAGAGGCCGACCGTAAGATAACGCGGGAGGTCGACCGTACATAAGAATGAAGATAGGTGATAGGTCGACCGTACAGAGGTGTTAGGGCAAACAAGAGGTCGACCGCTTCAGGCAAACGTAAGCGGAGACAACATGACAGGCGCTTGAGGAGCCGATTGCACGCAACCTAAGGAAAAATTGAACCTGCAGGATATCTTACGTGACTTGTAAGCAAGCGAAGTTGGCAGGGGAGCAGGAAAAAGATCACTGCTGACCGACATGCACTCCACCTGCCAACGACTACATCCAAAATATGAGATGATGTGATATAATATATAGTGATGGAATGTAATGATAGAAATGGCAGAGGTTGAAGTGAATTGAGCTAATATATATGTGAAAAAATGATGAGCCGAGGGGCTCACAACTCTCTAAGAAGAACTTGTAATCAAAATTCATAGTGAAGATTTTTCTCTCCTCACAGTGGACGTAGCTCCAGAATTCGGGTTGAAATACTATAAAATTCTTGTGTTGACTTTCACTTAATTTTCTTTAGTCACGTTTTAATCCGTTTGATCCGCACATAAATCTTTAAAAAATATGTTATTAATCTGCTGACGAATTTTCACCGTCAATCAGAGTTATCCAAAGATTGCAATAATTTGAGATTTAAGAGAAAAATGACATTTCAAAGAAAAAAACAAAACCCACCCATGCAGGCACCTTGGATTCCAACAATCACCAAGTCTCAATGCTATCCGATCGTCGTCATAGAAAAATTATGAAATATTTTATAATAAGAGTACTTGACTGGTTAAGTGGGGGCCTTTTTTTTTTTTTAATGGATTTTTATAAGGTTTTTTTAATAATAAAATAATTTATAAGTTTTTTTTTTTAAATATAAGAAATTCTTTTATTATTGCATAAAACGCATCTTTTCAATTAACAATAGTTGCCGGGATACTAACTATATTTCTAAAATAAAAAGGGTAAATATAAAATTTTATAGGAACAGTTGGATATCTAGAGGACGATGATACCATAAATATTATAAAATAAAACAGAGATGTACAAAGGACTAGAGCAGAGAAAAATTGAAGAGATCTAATCCATAAATAAAGTAGAGAAAATACTCTGCATGAATGGAGGAGACGGAGAAACTAGCTACGCTGGAAACTCCTTACTTCAGGTTCTTCTCATATCCCTCGTTCTTATGCTTTACACTATATATATATATATATATATATATATATGTATATATGTATATATATATGTATATATGTATATATATATATATATATATATATTGTTCATCGGAATTATCTTTGAATGTGGTTTAAAGTTATTAAGAGGAGTGCTCAATCCCTTATAAGCATACAATTATTCCATGTTTAGTTAACATAGCCAAAAATTCTTATTCTTACAAAAAACACAATTATCACGTCTTTAGTGTCATGAGCATTAATGCATATGTTACCATAAAGAGTGACATGAAATTCATACCATCTTTATTCTATCATGGTACCTACACCTACATCCGATTTCCTGAACATTTCTTTTTCCGGGATGAAAAGTGTTAGATGATTCGTTATAACTTGGTCGAGTAGAGATTAAAGTCGGTCTCATCAGCTCTAATCTCGATTGAACTCGAGTCAAAATTTATGTTCTAGAACCTAACTCTGATACCGACTTGTTAAGCCCTTCTCAGCCTAATATAACTATTCGTTCTCATGTGTCTAGCCAATGTCGGATTTCGTATCATTTTCAATATCAGCAAACCTTAATTTTCTTATTGAAATAATAGTTGTTGTATGTTGGTACTTACGTTTCATGTCTTCTAATTGCTATGCAGAAAGAGATGATAATAAAATCAAAGCCTATAGTAGAAGAGAGCATGAGAGAGCTGTATTTGGGCACTTTTCCTAATTGCCTAAGAATTGCGGACTTGGGATGTTCCTCGGGTCCAAACACTCTTCTCTTCATCTCCGAGATTATGGATTTAATCCATTTTACATGCCAAGAGTTGAACCACAAGGGACCGACATTCCAAGTGTATTTGAATGACCTTCCGGGAAACGATTTCAACACCATTTTCAGGTCATTGCCAAGCTTCTATGAGAAACTTAAGAAGAAGGGAGCGGATTTCGGGCCGTGTTTTATCGCAGGAATGCCTGGGAATTTCTATGGGAGGCTCTTTCCTGACCATTATCTTCATTTTGTTCATTCTAATTACTGTCTTCACTGGCGCTCTCAGGTTAGGAAGGGAGAAATATCTCCATTTTATTTTCTGTTCCTAATTAGAAAAAAGGTAAACTCCTTATCATGAATTGAATTTGCATGCAACTGTTTAGAATTGATCATGTCCGAACGCATTAGTTTTTGCTTTTAATTGGGAGTTTGACTTTGATCAATCAAGTTTTTATCCTCTTTTTTTTTGTTTAATGTAAATATTATATATGCAATTAATACAGGTTCCTGAAGGAGTTGTGAGTAAATCAGGAATTCCACTAAACAAAGGGAATATCTACATTGCCAAGACAAGCCCCATTATAGTATATGCCTCATATCTCCAACTTTTTGAGAGGGATTTCACATTGTTTCTAAGATTACGTTCACAAGAGATTATTCCTGGTGGTTACATGGTCCTCAGTATGATTGGCAGCGACAAGAAGTTTTTATCTGGCAATCACAGTTACACTATTTTCGAGTTACTAGGAATCACCCTCAGTGACATGGTCCAGGAGGTACGACACTCTTTCATCAATCCTTTCCTGTATAAAGTACATTAAGCAATGGGAGAGTTATGTAAATGAGGAAATGGGACAAATACTTTTATGCCTCGTTTATTTCACTGATTTGAGTTTTCTGTTTCAGGTTTTTACAGTTAAAAGTTCTCAAAAAATGTCACTTCTAACTTTTTTTTTGCTACAGTTAAAAGCTCTAAGAAAATGTCATATCTCAGTTGGAATTGAAAACTCGAATCCGATAAGCGAACAAAACTTTCGAGTGCATGGTTTGAATTTTTACCATTTACTCTTAATTAATATTTTTTTTAGTCAAATAACTAAATTAGTCAAAAGAGTATTAATCAAGAATAAGGATTAAAAATTCATACTCATACACTCTAAAAACAAATTCAACAATTTTCTCAATATATAAATGTATCCTATGTTTTAACTTTATTTAGAAAATGTACCATTTATGTTGAACTAAATCCATTGTACCAAAACATTTCTAGTATATATTAAATTAACACTGGATTAGTCAATACTAAATTTTGATTATTGAAAAGGCCAACATAATCCTGAATATATGTAAGGAAAAAAAAAAACTAAACTAATTTTAGAAAAGATTCAATTTTTTTATTTTTATTTTTTGTGATTTTTTTTATCTTTCCTTATTTTTCAATTTTTTTCCTTTTCAAGGATATTTTGGTCATTGCATTCGTCACAATTGAAAATTGATTGGTCCAAGGCACTAAGTTGGTGCATACTTGAAATGTTTCTAATATAAAAAGACGGGGTACATTTAGGGGTTTCAATTATATCTCTCCCCCACACGAACCTTAGAAAAAAGAGTGTATGACGGTTGAAGTTCTGGGGCCGCCTCTGGGCACTCCGCTGGGCTCCCAGCAATGAAACTTGGTCTTTCGACTCGCCTAGTCGTGAGCTTCTCGTTAGTGGTGGCGGTGTACAGCATGATGGCTCCGTTTAGGTGGATCTAAATCAGTTTAGAGCTTAGAAGCCGAACGGATGAGCTGCGTTTTTAGGCGAGTTTGTTGTTTAGTGGCTGGGATCTCTTGGCCGACTATCTCTCTCGACGGCCCTTTGGCTAGTTACCCTTCACCGGAGGCTTCTAACTGTGGTGGTCAGAAGTTTATTCTATCTTTTGATATAACTTTTGTGTTTGAAATAGGGACGGTGGTCTCCCCACCCAACCCTCGTTTGTTTTGTGGTTTGTTGTTAGTTATTGGTAATCAACTTAAGGCCGTTTGTATGTCTTTTGATAGAGTTGTCTTGGTCCAGCTAGAATGTTTTTTCTTTCGTGTACATGTCCCTTCTTTGTGGGGTTTGGCGATATATCCCTCCAGCGCTCGAAAGCCTATTTCAATGGGAGGGGTGTCTTCAATTCAAGCTTTATGTGTGTTCGTTGTTAGTGTGCCGAGGTGTTCTCCTGTTTTCGGGGCTCAGGCGCGCGTCTATCATTCTAATGGATCATTAACATTGTACCGAGATAACTGTTTATCAGTTTTTAATTAAATGCAATTTCCTTAAAAAAAATGAAATGTTTCTAATATGCAACTGCTGAAGTTTAAATCAAATAGTATACATTCTCAATAAGCCTAAAACAATATATTTATGTAAATGTCCCCTAAACACTTGTTTTCAATGTATGGTGTGGTCATATCTACTACTTATATATGTATTTGTGCTTCACATAGAAATTTGTGATTTTGAACTCAGGGATTACTACAAGAAGAGGAATTGGACTCTTTCAATTTGCCATATTATGCACCAACTGCAGAGGAAATGAGACAAGTAATTGAGACAGAAGGGTCCTTCGATATCCAACGACTTGAAACAGTCAAAACGGATTGGGATGTTAATATCGACAAAGGGAACAAAAGCTTAAGCAGAGGCGAGTACGTGTCCAAGGGTATAAAAGTAGTTGTACAACCAATTCTGGCAAGTCATTTTGGAGAAGAAATTATGGATAATTTGTTCGAGAGGTTTGCAGTAAAGATGGACGAGTATTTGGAGGTTGAGAAAGGCGAGTACACCAACATTGTTGTTTCCTTGAAAAAAAGAAATACTTCAGAGTAAATTGCACCGTTGCATTTTAAACTTTTTGTTTTTGGTATAATGCACCCGAAGTTTCAATTTTAATAAATTGCATCCTAAACCAATTTGAGTCCAATAACTAACGAGCGTTATTAAATTGACGGTTTGAAACTCAAGATTCCCACTTGACCTCGTTTGAAAATGATGAGCTTTACTTTTTATGTGCGATTCTTGTGTCTCAAATCGTCAATACGACAACGCTCGTTTATTGTTGGACCTCAATCACTACTAAAGGTGCAATAGTGCAATTTACTCATTAAGTTATGATGTACCAGGCAATCTGTCTATGATAACCAAGGATCTGATGGGATTACCTCCGTTTCAGTCTCTGTTCTGTTAGCATTCTTCAGTTTGCCAACTAGGGTTTCTCATTTGTTGGATTATGTACTTCGATGTTTCGTTTATTAGAAACTTAATTGCATAAATTACTACAGAACTTGAAAAGAGAGTTTCAATCTTTTATAGTTGTGAAGTCCTTTTTAAGCTGTAGGAAAGAAGTTAAAAGCGTTAAACAAGACACCAGAATTAGATTAACCTATCTGATTGAACATATCTCACAACTGACCCTCTTATGAAACAATTCCTCACAGAAAGCTGAAAAGATGCATTAGAAACAGCATATCAAGACTCGAGTTCGAAAGCCGACATTATATCGCATTCAAGAGAGAGTTCATTTCAGATGGGTAGAACGTAAACACAACTTGAACTTGGGGGATAATAAAAATCAAAACAACAAAGCCAAAAAGCACACAAATAAACCAGATGAACTTTTTGCAAGAATTCTAAAAAGCTAGGACTGATTGTATAGAAGTAAACAGTAAGAGAGACGACCATTCTTCGGTCTCTTAAATCCATTCAAAACCTTACGAATAACAGCCTCCCAAAAATCCAGCTTTATTGGTGACAACAGAATTCCAAGAGATTTCAACCCAAAAAAGTAAAACAACTGTAACGTTTTAGAGATTTTCCTAAAAAAAAAAACAACAGAAAACATGAGATTTTCCCTTTTTTATTTTTATTTTATTTTTTTTTAAAGCCCAAACATATCGGCAGATTCCTTTAACCCCTATTGACATTATATAACGCCTGCAGTTAAGGTTTTTTTTTTTTTTTTTTTTTTTTCCTCCTCCTCTTAGATGACTGTTAATTATATAACAGCTTCTTTATAGATCTTCACAAAGTTAACCAATATGATAAACGAGAGAATTGTATGAAAATCAAAGATGAGAACCTGCTACATTTCTTCCCTTTATAATTCAAAATCCTCAAGTTCATCAAATTTCTTGCTCAGCTTCCTAGATCTTCACTACCCCTTCCATTGCATTCGATACCCTAATTCATTTGTTCCTTAGTTCAAGTTCGAGTTCAACAATGTTCAAAGACAAGGGGGAAAAAAGTTCATCTGTTAGAATCTCACATTGGTGTTTATCATTCTATTAGAATCTCACATTGGCTGGAGATATTGGTATGATTCACTTAATAAGGTGAGAACAATCCTCCCCTAACAAGTCAGTTTTGCTAAGTTGAGTTAGATCTAATATCCTTTGATTTCTGTAAAATTGTATCAGAGCATGCCCAGTTTTGCAATGTTGGGTCTCCCAATATCGACTTATTCGCAGCGGTTTGACATGGTCCACACTGTGCTTGAGAGGGCATATTAGAATCCCACATGACTGGAGATATTGGCATGATCTACTTAATAAGGTGAGGGCAATCCTCTCCTAACAAGCCGGTTTTGTTAAGTTAAGTTAGACTCAATATCTTTTGATTTCTGTAAAATGGTATCAGAGCAGGTCCAGTTTTGCAATGTTGGGTCCCCCAATATCGACTTATTCGCAACGGTTTGGCATGGTCCACGCTGTGCGTGAGGGGGTGTATTAGAATCCCATATTGACTGGAGATATTGATATGATCCACTTAATAAGGTGAGGATAATCCTCCCCTAACAACCGGTTTTGTTAGATTGAGTTAGGCCCAATAACTTTTGATTTCTGTAAAAAAAATTTCATTTTCCATGCTCCTCAGCAACTGAACAGCTGCAGTAGTATTACCCGATTTACAAAAACCATTTAGCAATGTGGTGTAAGTAATGACATCAGGACCTCCACTAGTCATTTTGCGAAAGCATTCTTCCGCCTCGTCAAGCTTTCCTTGGAGCAAAAACCCTTTCATTAGAGTATTCAGGATCATAGTGTCTGGTTGATAACCAGATTTAATGAATTTCCCCCAACACAGACAAACTAAAGCCCATGTGGTTAAGATGACAAAAGCAATTAATAACAGTTCTGAGAGTACAATCATCAGTTGATATTCTACGAAGACCCATTCGGTTGTATAGAGAGACCACTACAGAAAAGTGTTTCATTTTGGCAATTTGGGCCAACAATTGATTGAAACGAACAACAGAAGGCAGAGGAAGAAATCGGAGCATTTCATCAAACACGTTCAAAGCATCTTCAAGAGTTGTTATCAGTGGCTTTTTTTTCAAAGCTTCTCCAATGGTTTTTGGTACGAGTGGTTTTGGTTTTAGCATTCGTCTTGTTATGGGCATTATTGTTATTTGGAGAGGCTTTAGAATGATTGGGAGCTATCAAAATCTTGAACAGAGAAAGAGAGGACGAAGGAGAACACATACCTCCAAATTTAATGGAATCTCTGTTGAACAAAATACGACTTCTCTGCAAGTTCAGCATCTTTCTTCTTCTCGGTCTCATAAACTCAATACGAAGAAGATGAGAGTTTCTTTCAGAAGGTGTTCTTTTGGTAAAGCGGAAGTTTTCTTTCTCTGGTCTCTCTCTCTCTTTTTTACTTTTATTTGTTGGGTTCTTCTTTTGCATTTTTGAGCTAGAGTAATTTGAGCGATGATTTTGAGTTAAATTTGAGTTAGAATTTAAGTTAAAATTGTAATTTGAGTTTATGTTTAGATGTGCACATTTGAGTTATGATTTGAATTAAGAATTTTTTTGAATTTATGTTCGGATGAGTCAAAATTTAAATTTATATTTAGATAATATTTTAATAAAAACTCAATGATTATGAAAAGTGTTAATAGGGTATATGGGTGATATTTTATTCATCTTTTCATTATAAATGCATAAAAAAATCATCTCAATCAAAATTAAAATGAAAAAGTTATGATATTTTTAATAATAGAAAAATATATTATTCATTAAATTGAGTTCGAGTTTATGAATTTGAGTTGAAAAGAAAACTTGAACTCGAGTTTAACTCAAAATTCGAGTTCAAATTCAAATTTTACAAAAAATATGAACTTAAATAAAATTGTAACTCGAGTATAATTTTTTTTTGAGTTTCGTTGCAATTATTTACTTACTTATTTACTAGTTGTGCTGCACGTTTTGATTCACTCAACTTTGTACTATTTTGTTTTTATATTGGGGCTTCATCATTTTGTTATGCTTTATGTTGGATTATTGTTTGATGTTGGACTATTCAGCATGTTTGTACTCCATAATTTATGATTTTTGTTATATGTTTGACTTCATTTTATTATGCTTTATGTTGGATTATTGTGATTTCTGCTTGATGTTCGACTGCTTAGTATGATGCGCGTGGGAAGAAATCTTTGTTAATTTTTTTTTAAAAGAAAAAATCTAACAACATGATTTAATAGGAACAAGTGAGAGTGAAAAAATATTTTAAAGAACAATATAAAAAATGAAATATGGAAAGAAAAACATGATGAGAATAGAAAAAAGAGAGAAGACAAAAAAAGGTCACAAAAAATTAGTTCACCAAGGACAATTAGGGAAAAAATATTATATGAGGATCATATCTGAAAGAGTGGAAAAAAAAAAAAGAATGTATACTTGGAAAAAAAAAATAAGATTAAATAAGGGTGAGAGAAAGAACAAAAATACGAGACTAAAAAAATAAATAAAAAAAGAAAGGAGGATAAAAAAAAAGAAAAGAAGGGAAAAAAAATGAATCTAACAATACATAAAAAGTTAAATGTTGTTACAGGATTATCTCCTGAGCTTACCACGTGTCAATTCTTTCTTCTTTCTCTATTTTTTTTTTAATTTATAATATATAACATTCAAACTCTCTTTTATCCATATTTCTTCATTTACCAATTGTTAACTCCCCCTTTTTTTGTAGGGGTTTTTTTTTGTACTTTTTCTAATTCTTTTTTTTTTTTGTGGCTTTAGTTTTTTAAAAACTCTTCTACAGTTTATTTACTATAGCGTGTTATTTTAGAACATTTTTTTCTCACTTTATTCCTATTAAAATAATTTCTTTTAAATGTGTACTTAATTTTTTTTTCATTTTTATTACTATCGCCTTTACATTGTAATTATTTTTAAGTAAGAACTAATATTTTATTCATTATATTAGCTTTTAAATGGTCTGATTTAGAGTATGAACAATTTTTAATCTAATCTATAATCTATATATAATAATCTATTAATCTTTAACATACCTAAAAAAGTTAGAATTTTCTCTCATTTTGACATGTGTCATCACAAAAATTGCTCTCCTTCTTTCTCACACATGGAGATCACCTTTTTATTTTATTTAATTTCTTTGATAGGATTGAAAAAAATGAACTATCGATAATTTTTTACTTTTCAGCCGTCAGATTTATATTAAAAATTGTTTTTTTCAATACTTTTTCAATCTAATCTGATTTTGTTCAGATTTAATGATAAGAAATTAGTTCTACCAGTAGGCCGTCCTACGCAGAAGGTTCTTTCTTTTTAAACATTTCTTGATTTCTTTTTCTCTTTTCTATTCTATTTTTTTTTCAAAGTTCTTATACAGTTTAATTTTATTTATGATGTGTTATTTGAAATAAGTTTTTCCATCAACTTTACACTTATTAAAATAATTTATTTTGAGTATATCTCTATTTTTCCCTTTTGTTAAAAGTTGTTATGCAGTTTAATTATTTTTTATGTGTTTTTTGAAATATTTTTTCTCATCGCCATATTTATATTTTTTTCGGTGGTATTCTCAACTACTATTAATTTCTTAAATAAAATACCCCAATTTATCTCTGTTGAAATAGCTTCTCTCACATATGAGCCTACTCAATATATATTTTTTTTCAAATATGGTCCTCATAAAATATTTTTTCCAATTTCTTTATTGATATCATGTAATATCTTCTTAAATGTGTCTCTACCTATGTAGTTTTTTTTTTTCCATATAATCCTCTGAAATAATATATTTTCATATGCATCCCATAAATAATTTACTCTATAATTTGCTTCACTAAAAACTTTGTCTTCCTTTTAACTATGCTCTACTTCAATTTTTATTTTTTTTATTTTTTACTAAACTAAACTCTTAAAGAAATAGTAAGTCAATTAAAAACAAATTTAAAGAAATACATGCGCGTAGCACGTGGTTTTAACTAGTAGTAGTGAAAAAAAATTATAAAATTCAATAAGGGTAAGAAAAAATAAAATATGGGACTAAAGAAGTAAATAAAAAAAGGTAAAAGGACCAAAAAAAGACAAGAAAAAAATGAGGGGTTGAAATGATAAAATTAAACAAAGGTGGTGGGAAAACAAAAATAACGGACTAAGAATGCAAATTAAAAAGGAAGGGGATCAAAACAAAGGGAATAAAAATTAACCAAAAAGAAAACAAAAAATGAAAAAAATACGAAACGCTTCATCCTCTTCCCCTTAGAGTCGAAAGGGACGAAACCACAGAGGCACTATTGCGCCTTTTATTTTATATATTGCAAAAGATTTGCATTAGTTTTCTCTTGTAAGCTGGGAGCTTTTTGTTTGTGTTTTATTTTATTATTTCTCACTTTATAAATTTCGTTTGCATAATGACATCCTCAGTTGCTATTTTTCTAAGAACAATCGTACAAAATTGTATACTAAGTATAGGAAATATTAGTTTATGAAGATTGAAAATATCTTAGATCAACTAAACAAGTTTTTTTTTGTTCTATTTTTCTCTTTTCATTTTTCTTTGGGACATGAAATTGAATTATTGCATGAAAAATAGTACTCAAGCAAAAAAATTAAAAATGATATGACACTATTTATAATTATTTTTTGTCCCGTTGTACTTTAGTACTTCTTCATTTTGGCCTTCAAATTTGAGAAGATTCTATTTTACCCTATAAAGTTTAAATTAGTTCCACGTAATCCCATTTTGTTAGTATTTCAATTAAAAATAAATGTAAATAGAGAGGTGAAGTGCGGTCATGTAATTTTTCTCTATTTGTTTTCAACAAAATGATTGTAATAACAAGAAAACCATGTGATCAAGAAAGTTAAATAGAATAAACATAAAAATCGGCTAGTAAGATTAGAGTTTTTAAAATTTAGAGAGTAAAAATGAAGTTAACTCTAAAATTCAAAGAGCACAAATGAGAATAATCCAATGAAATGAAAAAAAAAAAAAAACTAACTAACTAACTAACAATACTAAACCATAAAAAGCCTTTAAAAAAAAAGTATCATCTGACTAATTCATTTTTTTTATGGACATATGAATGCTCTGTTTAGTGTTTAGTATTGGATGTATGCTGATTGTCAAAAGTCTGAACAGAAAAATATTGGGCGCGTTTGAAACTCGTTCCAAGATGATTTTATTTTTTGTATGAAAATAAAAATGAAAACGTTTTCAATCTCAGACATAAATTATTTTTAAAAATGTGTTTGGTAGTTTTATCAATAGATTGTTTTCAATGTAAAAGAACTCATTAATATCTCTCTTTCTCTCTCTCTGCTCGATTGAGGAGAAAACGAAAACAAAAAATAAAAAATGACTAAAAGTCATTTTTCATTTCTCTCTCATTTTACACTTAACTAAAAAATCGTTTTCATTTTTATTTTTTGTCTTTATTACGCCAAATGCCGTTTTAAAAATATTTTCATTTTTTTTTAAAACGTGAAAAATAAAAACGGGATCAATTTCAAACATGACTATTGTTTTATTTTTTTTAGGAGGAGCAAACCACCCAAACCGCCTTTGAACTAGCCGCCAAAAAGCTCCCTGCTAGCTGGACAAAATCGGCGGTCCCAGTTTATGATTTGGCCAAACCTCCTTATTTTTTCAAACCACCAGCTCTGCTTAAAACCCGCTAAATTGCCCGGATGTTTACCCCTAGCTCCTAGTATCCTTCCCACCCTATCAATACACTCCCATCTCTTCTAATATATTAGTTTTTATTCCTATCAATCCATATTGTCACACCCCTCCTAAGTTAGCAGCTCGGAACCACTAAACTCGGGAGAAACGTTAACTTAATAAAATAATACATCTTAATAAAGAAATAATATCTATCACAAATATAATCTTCGATTAGAATTTTTAGTATTACAAATTTCAATTCTTAAGATCTCCATACTCACCATGGGACATTGGATCATTCTCACTCAATCAACTAAAACTTTTATCTCAGACTTTACTTATCTGCATCACAAGTACTATATGAGTTTACGCTCAATAAGTAAACCATAAATATTTCCACTTTCAAAAATAATTTTCTTAAAATATTTAGGACCCTCTTGTATAACATTAGTCTTGTGTTATTAGAACCTCTGTCATATGGCCCCATATCTTGAAATCTCTTATTCCTTAAGGAGTCGGCCTTTATCATATCTCAGTAGGTTTATAATAAACACAAGACTTCACATCATTTACCCATAAAATACTTTCAAAATCTCATGATAATAAGTCTACAATAACATATTTAAATTAAAAATTTTATTAAAAATGTACTACTGTTTAAGTGATGCAGTGTAAAGTATACTTACCTCAAATCTAAATATTAAAAGATAGTAAAAAGAGCTCACTCTCAATGTCGCAGGTCCTAAATTCCTGATATAAACCTTGTACACTTAGTAAAGGGAACTAAAACTATGATCTCATTCAAGACTCATGTAAATATCCTAAAATTACTTTCATTCTCTTATTAGGAATTCCTTCATGTCTGTCCACATAAATTTCTTAAACACTTAAATATACTTAAGTCTCCATACGGCACCTAGGAACCTTTTTTAGGAACCTTTTTTAACTCCACCGTCTCAAATCGTTTTTTTCACCAATCTTTTATGTGCCCTTCCATTAGTATCAAAGGCAATCATTTCAATTACGACTAATTGTCTTTAGTTTCATTGTATTCATAAAGTTTATATATATGTATATATGTATGATGTAATAAGATTCAATTTAAGTTTTTACGCTACTAGCTTATATATGGAATTACGTTTTGTGTATTATTTATTAGAGATTTTCATTTATTTTCTACATATAATATATATATATATATATATATATAAAGAGTCCTAAAAACCAAAGTTACTATTCCCTATAGCATGATTCATGTTCTTCAATATATGTGATTTTAGAGATGTGATATATGGTCTGCATAAATTGTAGAAATGGTTGAAATTATATTAGGAATGTTCAGTAGAAGGTTGGTAAAACGTAGAAGGAAATAGAGAATGATGAGAATCCTTTCACTTGGGATGAGCTAAGTAGATATATATACAAATTAATGTATATATTCAAGAGATTAAGCAGCCGACATTCAAAGTCGAAACCGACTCTTTTAAATAATATATATATATATATATAATGAGTAAAACTTTAACAACAAAATAATAACAATAATACTAATAAATAAATAACAAAATATACTTACCAGTGCTTAAAAAAATAACATCTAAACTAATAAAAATTATGCTATTTATGATCATCCTTAAACTAACTCATAACACATATACTCCAAACCAACATGCAAAAACCTTCAAGCTCAGATTCGCTAACCAGCCTTGACCGTAAAAGTGAATTAAGGATTTAATTTCTTGATGCAAAATAAAAGTGAAATTAATAATTTTTGTTGCCAAAATCTTGAAAGCATTAGCTGTTCCTGGTTATTGCAAATACATAATAACGAGGAAAACATTTCATAAGACCTTTGGCGGACGGAAAATCCCGAAGATTTTTTCCCAGTTCTTCAGTTATGTCTTGAAAAAAAAAGATTTTGAAATTTTAAGTACAAAATCTTTAATTTTATTTATAGCAATATAAAAGATATCTAGTAAGACTTAAATTAAACACATCTATTATTTTGCCAAACGCTCTAGCTAAGGCTGGAACATAATTACATAAACCTTAAGATCCCACAGATATACTTCATCTTATCAATATATATTGCAATTTGTATAAACCAATAATGTATAGACATATTATATTATGTCATAAATGCCTAATAAAGTATGTAAATATGTAATCAGATCATAAAATATCCTTTTTCATTGTATCATATATAGCAGTTAGATACAAAATTATACGTCTGTACTGTCTATGCTAGACTTTATAATTAGAATGAAAATCAAATTTGGACTGTTACAGAAGTATATACTAATTATTATAAACAAAACTCATTCATCTTTACTATGGATGTATCTGATGGCTTCCATGAGATGCTCCGATCTCAAGGGTTTGCACAAGTAAACGTCCATTCCAGCCTCGATCGTCTTGTTGGCTTCCTCAGAACCTGGTGTATGAGCAGTTAATGCAATTATGGGTATATGAACACCATATAATTGCTCCACCTTTCTTATCTCCCTTGCTGCTTCATACCCACTCATGATTGGCATCTGCAAAAACATATATATGCATCACTTTATTTTTATGAGATATATCCTACGAGCGATAAGATCACATTAAAATCATATCGATCATATAATTAAAAAATCATGACAATTTAATATATAGCACGATATGTAAGAGAAAATATAAATCAAAGTCTCACACTGTTTAAATAAAACAAAAAACATTAACTTAAAGAAGATTGGGTCCCTCCGTTTAATATGTTAAACTTTTAAGATGAAAGTTCAAGTCTTTTGCAAATCTAATTTTCACATAATATCGGATCCTGAAATAAGCTCAAACAAGCGACATGATCCACTCAATACGAGATCAGTGACTCTAAATAGAGCAATTTATATCACGATAAACATCCTACTATGAAAATTGCATCTTGTATATTTCTTTTTATTTTTTATTTTTTTCAGACTCTATACCGAAAAATTAATGCAATTCAAATTCAACCGCTGTAAATGAGTTCAAGTATGATATTTACCTCACAATCCATCAATATATAATCATAAGGAAGACTCGTAGAGTCTCCATGTTTCCTTTTATTGGCCAGTCCATTGGAAACCAGTTCCAAAGCTTCTTTTCCATTTGCACATGTATCAACAGCTCCACCAAGCTTTGAGACATTATGCATGGCTAGCTTCAGCAACAACGAACTATCATCCGCGACCAAAATTCTCTTCCCTCGCAAGGGTTCATCATTGCTTGAACTTCCAAGTTCTTGTATTTCAGATATGTTGACCTTGTACTCGTTTTGATCATATATTGGTGACGAGATTGGTTGATTAGTAACTTTAGAGATTTTCCCAACTTGCGAAGATGCAGTACTGCTGCCTTCTCTATTTGGTAATGAACCCCCAAACTCTGGAAGAAGTTTCACCACTTCATACAAGCAGGAACCATGAAATGGCTTGTATTTGATGATATCGTCCGAATCGATGACTCGCCCTTCGAGGGAGGAGTTGAAGCTGATGCTGTGAGACACCAGATTCGCTAGCCAAACAACCCTACAACAAGCATTTTGAAGGCCGTTTCTGAATTCGTTCACAACTCCACATAATTCTGAAAATGGTCCGGCAGTTGCATCAATCACCATTAATACAAACCCTAGTGATCCACCTCTAAGATAATTGGTCTTTCTGAAAAGAGTAAGTACGTAGTCTGTTCCGTCCATGGCGGTGCTACTAAAAGGCTCACTATCCTTTGCTCCGATATTGCAAGAACTTTTGGTTGAGATAGATTTTGTCAAGCACTCATTTTGAGTACTCGAATCGGATTTATTGCTGGAATTGTTCCACTTGCGTTTTATTTTTCTGAGACTACGAGGAAGTTGTTCCCATCTCTCCACTACCAGTACTTTTATCCCAAGGCTTTCCATGAACTTCCTCGAAACCCTACGTCGTTCCATGTTTCGAATTAGCAATACAACGTAAGATCCTTCTACCTTAGGACTTGGGGTGAGAACACGCAATTGAGGAGTAGATATTAAGTCACCAGAACACAATTCAGCCTCGCTTTCTCTTGTTTCACTCAAAGACGCGTTCTCGCAAACACTAAGAAAAACATTGAACCTGAAGCAGGTACCCCTTTCGCCAATATCCTTCTCTACGACCGCAATTTCTCCATGCATCAAACGTACCTGCAAGTAGAAAATTTAATATCTAGATTGTATAAACCAGCCAAGCCAATATATACACACAAATGTGTCATACATGTCGTAATTTTTTTTTATTTTTTTTTATTTTTAACACGACTGAGAGACTGACTACAGAGTGATTAAGTGTGCATATTATTAAAAATGAAAATAAACTGAGACAAAAAATTATTCATATAACATCTCAAATATTGTAAACATATTACTTACCAAAGATTGAACAATGCCAAGCCCCAAGCCAGTGCCTCCTTGTCCGACAGCAATTTCATTGACTTGGACATAGTTTTCAAAAATCTCCTTGTGTTTCTCTTTAGGGATTCCTTTGCCCGTATCATCCACTTCAAATACAATCTCTATAGAGTTTGGATCATTCTTGGCCACATTCATGTCTTCAAGATCCTCATCATGTCCTCTTCTGTTCTTGTAAAACAAGCGCGACAAATCCCGCATTAAACCACTCTGGTTCGAAGCAATTATTGAACTCTTCGAACTTGGCTTTCTTACCCATGCCCGAACACTAACGTGCCCATCTGAAGTAAATTTAACAGCATTGCTTAGCAAGTTGCATAAGATTTGTCTAAGCTTTCCTCTATCACCTTTCACATGTGAAAACTTGGAAATGGAGCCATCACAAGGATTCAAAATTACATCAGTCCCTTTCTTTGCACCCGTAGGATGATAAAGATCAACTACATCTTCAAGAAGTTGGGCCACATCAAATTCCTCCTCTTCCAGCAGCATTTTACCCGCTTCGATTTTGCTTGTATCAAGAATGGAATTTAATAGACCTGATAAATTATAGTCTGATGATATTATTTTATGTATATTGATAAGAATATTGAAAAGCCATTGATATGTATGCTAAAATTTAGGAATATATAGAAAAACTAAGAGAATGGAATGAAGGGTTTTACCTAATAAGTCCTTCGTACATCCATCCATTTGTCTTAATTTCTCTTCCAAATCGGAACCTTTGGCAACTTCATCACAGCAAATCTCTATCAAACCAGTCATGCCAGCCAAAGAAGCGCGAATATCGTGGCTGGCGCTAGCGAAGGCAAGACTTTTGTTCATACTCTTTCTTTCAGCCTGCTCAGTTGACTCCATTTGCTTAATAAGGGCCGCGCGCAGATGCATCTCTCTTATGGCAGCTCTGTAAATTATGGAAACGAAGCTGAAAATGGAGACGGCCATAATGCCGATTATCGATATAAGGAGGATGAGTGTTGTTCTATTATGTTTATGCACAAAGCTGACTAATTCAGTTCTTGGCGTAGCTAATACATAAACCTGAAAACTCAAATAGAATAAAGTTAAAAGCAGATACAAAACTAATTATTGAGCATTTTTAACCAATTAGCTAGTAAAAATATATTCATGATCGCATTGTAAGTTTCCAAAATTTTAGACGATCCTATTTATACAGCTTCAACAATTAACTAGACTATTTATCTTTATATTACCTATTTCAGAACATGACATTAATCAAAAAAATTAATTTGCAAGTTCAATCATCTACTCGATTTAAATATTATATTAATACTTCAATCGTTATGCAGTAATTATAGCCAGTGGTTATAAAGTGATGAGAGAAAATTTTGAGATGAAGTAAATTTCAGCATTCATAAGTCCTACTAATTAATTTCAAACTACCATCCATTCAAAGTATTAAAGAAAAATATTTGATGAAATAAATGTTAATGCATGAGAATAAACTAATAACACTAACGTATTAAAATGCTTCAATTGTTTACAATAGTTAATTCTTCCAGCCAGATTGTAGCAGAAATCCGAATGCAGATTTTAACTTCACTAAAATTTGATTATAGATAACTAAATTAATAAAAAAAAAAAAAACAAACAAACAAATAGTGATCATGCGTACCGATTGCACTCCAAGCATGTCAAGTTGTGAACAGTGAAACATGTAATTCATTCCCTGAAAAGTCAAATGATTAGAAAATCTAGTTGATCTGTAGCAAGAAACAATTTGATCACCATGTGCTTTCATCAACTCAAAGGAAAGAAGTGAATCCCCAGCTAGTATTTTCCCATCCACGGTGGCTAAATATGATCTCCCGCCTTTAAGATCGAGGTCGGTATAAAACCCGGTCACTTCCTTAACCAAAAACCCTAGAGCAACGAGTCCATTATTGCCATTAACGCTTGCTGTGTTGATGAACAAAAGGTCTTGAGTATTGTTCCATCTTGTTCCAAGAAATGAATATCCATTTGTACTGTTTAAAGCTTTTCGAAACGAGCTTGCGTTGTTAAAGGCGATAGAGGGGCTGAATCCAACGACGTTTCCATGTAGTAGTTTTCCAGTGTTTCTGTCTACCAGTTGTGTATACCAATAGGCGTTTGGACTACTCGAATTATGAGTCATGTCAAAAGAAGAGTTAGAATATAAAGCAAAGGTTTGATCCCCGTCTGTATAGTAGGAGAAAACAATACCTTCGCGTCCAACATATGAAATTTGGGTCAAGTGTGGATTTATTGATAACGCTTGAAAGAAAATTGGGCCAACCTGAAAAGATAAAGCGAAGAATTAGGATAAAGAAATAGGAAAAAAAAAAAAAAAGAGAAAGAGGGAAATAGGTCAAGACTTGAGATGAATTAAAATTAATAGGTCAATAGTTTACATAAGTTAATAAACATGCTAAATTACTGTTTTCGTCCATAACTTGTATGGTTATGAACATAACTTGACAAGTTATTATCCATAACTTATTTGATTATGAACCCTAACTTGACAAGTTTGTCCATAAGTTATCTGGTTATGAACCATAACTTGATAAGTTTGTCCATAACTTGACAAGTTATGACCTATTAATTTCTATAACTAAAAATTGACCTATATACTTTCTTAAGCTTTTCATATTGGCCTATTTCCTACTATTTGCCAAAAAAAAAAAATGCCGATTAAATTATATTCTCTTTTTGTCGAAATCAAGTAACTAGTACTAAAAATGAGGAAATCTAAAGGTATGTTCTCTCACCGCCGGAGGTCTGAGATTTATATCTTCTCTTAAAGACGATAAGATTGATTTCTTCTATCATATTCTGTCCTTATATGTTAATTTAAGGAGCGTAGAATTTTAAGAAAATGATACAAAACAAAATGAATAAATGCATATATCAATTTGACGGACTAAAGAAAATTGATATTAATTCTAAAAAGTTTAAAGTAGTCAATTTTTTTTGTAGCCTACTATGTAATTACTATTAGTTTACCAATCTATCCTAAAAGCTTAAGCTGTTAAGATGTGAATCAACAATAGTTTTTATATTTTAACACTCCCCTTCACGTGTGGGTTGAACAATGGATAATCATGTAGGTAAATTAAGGGAGAAAGAGGGAAATAGGCCAAGACTTGAGATGAATTAAAATTAATAGGCCAACAATTTACATAAGTTAATAAATAGACCAAATTACTATTTTCGTCCATAACTTATCTGGTTATGAACCATAACTTGACAAGTTATTATCCATAATTGTCCATAACTTGTCTGGCTATGAACCATAAGTTGACAAGTTTGTCCATAACTTATCTGGTTATGAACCATAACTTGACAAGTTATGGCCTATTAATTTTTATAACTAAAAATTGGCCTATATACTTTCATAAGCTTTTCATATTGGCCTATTTTCTATTATTTCCCGTAAATTAATTAGAAAGCCCAACACGTGAATATTTAAGCCCGAGATATATTAAAGACCCAACACATGATGACAATTTCAATGAGGATAAAGAGTGCAATTAAGGAAGTTTGAACTTAGAACCTCATGCTCTAATATCATATTAGTTTACCAATCCATCCTAAAAGCTTAAGCTGTTAGGAGGTGGGCCAACAATAATTTTTAATTACACTATAGTAATGTTAAAAAGTTATTATTTATTGTAGTAATGATTAGAGATCAAAGAGATGGAGATGAAGTGTTAAAAAAAAAAAAAAAAAAAAAAACTAACATTGTTCTCAATCTCAGGAATTGAGAGTTTAGATCCATTGAGAGATGAAGCTAGAACTCTTGCTAAGTTCGTTGTTGACGAAGAGCTCATCAGGTTGAGAAGTTTTGTCGTCTTATCGATCTCCGACTGTAGTTGGGAATGGAAACTGTGAGAACTGACATTCACATGTCGTTCTACATGTTTGATCATGCCATACCAATATGATATCAGCAAACCCAGATGCAGAAGCAGTACAATTGCCTGCATTTTAACAATAATTGATAATTAATTATTAATAGCCTTCTACGTGATTTATCTAAGAAGATTTTGATTTCTTGAAATACTAGTGTACGGAACATATAAGATGATAATATACTAAAGGCAACGGGGTATAGCAGAAAGTTTAAATTACCAGAAATATGAAGAAGAAAAGGAGCTTCGACAATGTAAATGATCTTAGCATCATTTGATTCTTCAAGTTTATTAATGTGATTAACGAGTTAGTCAAGTAATTTCCTGTAAAACCACCAAAAATTTACATAAACTCACATGCTGTGACATATATACTTTTAACAATATTGACAAGAAATAGAGGAATATATATTATTAGGACTAGGGATAAACTATTATTTAGGACCTAAGAAAGCAAATTTTTTAAAATTATTAAATAGTGTCCATTATTGAAGAAGAAGAAGAGAAGGAGGAGGAAGAAAGAAAGAAAGAAAGAAAATGATGTAACTCTCATGTAAATATATTAATAATTCAAGAATATTGGTAACTTTACAATATTGTTAGTCAAATCAATAATTAAAGCTTCAATCAAGAAAGAAAAAGACCTATCAACTGGGGTTAAAAATAGAAAGGAAAATGGCAGTTAACGAATTGACCTCTATATTCATTGTATTAAAAATTTGGAAGGTTGCATTTCAATTATATATACCCCCTTAATATGTTCGATGGATTTTTGGATATTGCTCTTACTTTCTTTTTTCCTTCTTTTAAATTCTAATATATTTGAATGTAAAACTCAAAAACCAAAAAACTAAATTGAGCGTATAGTGATATTGCCCTCGACTCTGAAAAGGAATATTACCGGTAAGAAATTTATTCATAGTATTTAGAAAGCGACAACTCTAACTGCTATATATATAGATGGTGGCGATGCATCACAAATATTTGTGTGTTTAACATTTCTCTTTTGTACTATAGTTTCTATATTCATAATAAATGTAGCTTTTTTTATCTATAAATAACGATATAGGATAATTGATACATAACTAGTATGCATGGCAACTAAGTTCACATCCACTACAGACCCCATCTTTTATAAAACCCTCTACTCAAATATTATTGAAATTTAAAAAAAATATATACAAGATAATCCAGCCCTAGGGCGAAAAACAAAAAGAAACAACTTGAAAAAAAAAAAAAAAAACCATGTAGTTTCTAAATGAAACTAGAAGGGTTGTACATTATGGAAATAAAGGAATATTTTCAAGCCCTTCCTATTACTAATGAGGAGACCTATTATTAAGGTTGATCTTTAAGGAAAAGTCTAGGCTAATTCTTATCGTGTTAGATTTTTAACTTTGTCGCATATATCATAGTTTGGGAGTTTTCTTTCGTTAATTCCAGAAGATTCCAATCTAGGTGAGATGTTCTAGAGATCGTGAATACTATTTTCGTTCTATTCAGTGTCTTTTTTTTTTTTTTTTGGCTTCAATAGCTAATTACTAGGAAAAGAACAACAAAAATGTACTATAAACCAGCAATATAAAGAATAAACGAGCTAAAACACCATATATATTTAGTATTCAACCGCAGGGCATATCGAGTACGGAATGAAAGCACTGTAAACGAAATTAAAAAAAGAAAAGAAAAGAAACGAAACAAAACAGTGAATGAAACCAAACACAGTTCTGACGAAAAAAGAAGGAAAAAAAAAAAAAGAAAAAAGGAAGAAACACGATAAAGGAGACGCAAAGAAAACTATTAGGGCAGGATACAATGTTAACGGGCACACAAGTGGCAACGATCCGGGGAGAGCACGGCGCAGGGATAACACTACGGCGCGATGGAGGTTCGAGTGAGCGGCACTTGTCCGGCAACGGCTGAAGCCGCTGATCACATGAGAGCACGACACGGCGGCGTGAGGGAGGTGCAGTGGAGGTGGAGGGGTGGCAAAAAAATGGTTACGATGTTTTTTTTTTTGGAAGGAGTTTTGTGCAAGGGAGAGAGCACAAAGGAGGTGAATAAGCAAGAATGACCAACGAAAAAAATTTTGAGAGAGCGATGGAGAAGAAAAAGGGATTACAAATACCATAAATACATTGCTTCAATGAAATATATCCAATTAAAGTACTACAGATATGGTAATATTTCCCTACTGATTTCCTAAGATTAGTTAATTTACAATACAAATTTAGAACAAATGTCAACTTTCTCTATTATATATAATTTGTTCTTTTATAAATGGCTGGAATTTGGAAGCAGCAGTTTAGATTCCTGATTATCACCCTTCCAAAGTTTCCTTTTTTTTTTCTTTTAATTTAGATCTTAATAAACTTAATTTATCACTACTTCATCAAACTTTTATAAGTCCAAAAATTTTAATTTACCTCTTTGGACACGTCTAAATATGAACAAAATACTTGATCAGTTGTGAAATTAACATTTAGGGATTAATACACACGCTTTGCAGATTTTATAAGAGTGTTGTAGGAGTTAAATTGTTATCATTTGCTAAACTTGCCAATCCTTCTTTCTTGATAGTTTAATTAGGAAAGAAATAGGATTTTTAGCAATTCTTCTTTTAAAGGGAGACTGAAAATTTCATTAATCACTGATTAAATCATCGCATATAAAATAACTAATAAATAAAAGATGGCACGAATCGAGCTAGGAAACATCAACACAAAAAATAAGAATATAACTAGCTAACCTGTAGGCTGCACAATTCCTTTCTTCTAGTGTAGAAAAATAGAGCAACAACAAGCTTCAATAAAGGCATCTCTATTTTTTTTTTCTTTTTGATTATAATAATAAAGACATCTCTAATATCTTGCCTTATTAGAATATTTTGTGATTCTAATAAGCTTGATTAAGGCTTATGATATCACATTTAATGGACTAGCAAATTAGGCGAGTTAAGATGGGCACAAACGGTTTGTCTTCACTAAAACTTGGCGATAATTATTTGTTTTTCATATCTACTCTGAATTCTATATTTTTCAAAATTTGAAATTTTACTTTAGGATATTTTAAATTTAAACTCTAATATGCTTAATAAATAACAAAAAGAAAAGTCAATTACGTTAGATTTAATTACATAATTAAATTTTATTATATAATAGAAATTAATGATAGGATTTTTTTTTCTCTCTTTTGTTTTGTTTTTTTTGTTTTTACAAAGTTGCATGAATATATATATTTTTTGCTCATGTTGTTTAATAGTTTGTGTTATTTTTTTTATTTCTTTTGATGCTATTTTTTTGCCGTAACTTTTTTCTTTTGGCGGTTTTTTTTTTCGTTTTCTCATTTAAGTTTTGAGTTGTTTTGCTGTCTTTTTTTTTTTTCCTGAATTGTATATTTTTCCTTTTTCTTTATTTGCTTATGAAAAAAGGCTTCATGCCTAAAGGTTCAATCAAACATATCTGCTTATGAAAAAAGGCTTCATCCCTAAAGGTTCAATAAAAAATATACAGAAAGATAGAGAAATTATAATATTAAATTAACAAATTAAAATGAAAATGGTGGGTGTGAAAAAAAATGCTGAAGTGGTCAAGAATTAATAATTTATGAAAATAATTAGAGTAATTTTGGAATAATAGAGACATGTAAAAAATAAATTTAATTATTTCAAAATTATGTGGGGTGTGGAGAGTAAAAAGAGATGTGTAAATAAAACCACCCATTTTAAAAATCAATTTATTTAGCAAAATGGTAATATAGTAATTTTATAAATAAAAAGGTTAATTCTTTCACAAAGGTAGGGATACAAATGTAGTCTTTTTTCTTTTTACGTGCCAAATAATTTTGAGAAAACTTATTATCATTCCTTTTTTATAACTCCACATTAGGAGTCCTCCTTAGCAAACATATTATAAAATGGCGCGTTAAGGCGCGCACAAAATGTGATTTGAAAATGGCGCGTTAAGGCGCGCACAAAACGCGATTTGAAAATAAAGCTTAGTGCCCTTTACACTAAACTTACTAATCCCTATTTCACCAAAAACAAAACAATTTAAATCCTCATTTTCATCAATCTTCTTCATGAAAGAAGAAGGGAAAAAAAAAAAAAATCTTGTATCCTATCATTTTGCATTATTCAAATTTATCGTTTTTTATCTCTTACCTGCTTCATTATGGTTGTTATGAAAATGGTATATTATTCTCATGATATTATATAGTGCATTGAATAAGTCCATACATTCAAATATAGTCGTATTTGTATATAATACCAAACCGCAGTGTATGGAAGAGAATGATTCTTGTGAAAATAAAAAAGAAAAAAAAAACGATAAACATAACAGCCATGATCAAACTCCATGAATATAAAGCCAAAGATCACTTCTGTCATACAAAAACGCAAATTTTACTAATCTTTTTTTTATTCGTTAGATTTTGAATCGATATATAAATTAGTTTCTCTTACATTTAGCCGTGAATCCTTTTGCAATTCATTGTATTATACACATATTTGATCGAGAAAGAGATATATATGCACAAATAAGTCAAGAATAAAAAGGCAAAAAACCATGAAGAAGAAAACGGAGAGAGAAACTGACCCGGGATTTTCAAGGGAAGTTTGTAACCTTTTGATATCCGGTAAAACTTGCAGGTGCAATTTGTCCACCTTGATCCTGATATTACCAATAAATTTGTATTTGTCACAGAAGTTGGAGTTACTGTCGAGATGTTGAAGGCAAGATCTTCTTGTCTATGTCTAAGAGGAAAAAATATCTTTAAAGAATTTCTTTCAATAGTTCTTTCTTTTGGTTTCGTCAAAAGATTTTCTCATATGTATATATGTTATACACACACACACACACACACACACACACACACACACACACACACACATATATATATATATATATATATATATCCTTGTCTTTAGTTATATATAAGTGACCGATTCTGAGTGTTAAACATGGAAGGTTAAATGAAATTAGCACTTTCGTAAAAGATTTTTTCCATTCAAACAGTTTGTATAATTAAATTAATTTTCTTTTTTTTTTTTAAGCTTTCTTTCATCTACTGTGGTA